GTGGGTTGAGAAAAAGAAAAGAAAAGATTTCCATCCAACAATTCTTCTCTTTTCTTTTTCTTTTTTTCTCTTAAAACCATCTCAAGTCAAATGATGAGAAACTATCAAAATTTGATAGTTTCATCGATCGTTTCTCTTTTCATTTTCATGAGAACCATCAAGATTAACTTGTTTACGAATTTTTTACCCTTTTTTTTGAATTGAGCAACAATACAGGTTAACTTACTCAATGAAATAGTTTCTAACTAATATAAAATGAATCAAATAGGTTACTTTCTTTCTTGTTTTGTTCTGTCAATCTTTTGAGATTTCAATTGTCTTCACTTTACTATTACCTAGTGGTAATCGAAAATTCAACAGTCAAAAGATGATTTATCCTTTTCAGATTCGATTTCTAGTTTCTGATTCGATGGCAGGTATGAAGTAGCATTTGAAGTAGCATAGGAATCCTGTAGCATAGGAATCCTGTCACATAGGAATCCTGTAACATAGCAATCCTGTAGCATAGGAATCCTGTCACATAGGAATCCTGTAACATAGCAATCCTGTAGCATAGGAATACTTTAAGCCTATGCGATTCGATGATCAATGCCGACTATTGCGGAATGCGCTAGTTTTTTCAACATTTATTCTCTTTCGAATACCGTTTAAAGCTATTCAGCTTATTGTTTGTTTATGTTTAAAGTAGAATGTTGAATGTTCAATGGAAATGTTTCTATTTAATCTTAAAACTAACTTCATCTAAAACAAGGAAATCAAGAAAAAGTTGCTAAAGCGTAAAAATTGTCGAAACTCTCATCAAATTACATCCAAAAATCTCATTTTTCATTAAATTTCATTAAAGTTTTTAAAAAGCGCTTACCGTAAATACCGTAAATACTTTCAGGATTACAGAAAATCATTTTAGATTGTCCAGAAAGCCCAGCCATGTCCAGAGTTCCTTTTCATACTTGAAAAATAACAAATTGACTCAATTAATCTATCCTTAACTCTAAATAATATCGTAAATACTGTATCATTCATTGTAAGCCTTACCGTAAATACTGTAATAGTACCCCACCCCCCCCGTACAGTCGCGTAGTCGCAAAAGTTTTTTAGTATTTCATTTTTTTCAAAGCACCCGTACTTTCAAAAAATGCGTCTTTGGTATCAAAAAATAGCCCTGAATTTCAGCTATTTTTTGATACCTAAGCGCGCATTGTAGCATAAACCAGTGTCGAGAAAAACTCGTTCAAAGCTAGACTACGCAACACTCCACATCGTCATTATGAGGGTGGGGTACTATTACAGTATTTACGGTAATAAATCTAACTTTATAAAAGGAAACTAAAAAGAAAAGTTAAAATAAGTCTTTTTTTTCATATTTTGATGGTTTCAAATTGTGAGTCATTGGCTTTTTTTTTCGCTTTTTCCTTTTCTCAACAAAATTTTAATCATCATGCTTTCGTTTTAGAGAGAAACATTTATCAAAAAGAATACGATTTTACAAGTTTCTTGAAGATTTTCCTGTATTTTTTATACTTTTAGTTATTCTGGAAACTTTCCTAAAGCTTCTACGAAAATCTCGGCTTTTCTTTGCCTCAATTGCCTCAATCGGTGACTACAATTTTTGAACTTTTCCTCTTTTTATCTCAATTACGGCAATATGGATAATATAATGGCTACAAATGTTTTACAAGAATGACCTATAGATTCTATTTCTTTCTCCATTACTTCCCTTACTTCTTACTTTCCTTACTTCTTACTCCCCTTACTTCTTACTTCTCTTACTTCTTACTCCCCTTACTTCTTACTTTCCTTACTTCTTACTCCCCTCACTTCTTACTTCCTTTACTTCTTATTTCCCTTACAAAGAAAAGAAACCTCTCCTCAATGATTAGTCACACAAAATTTGTTTTCCCGAACGCTTTCTCCGTAAAAAATCGATAGGATTAGTTTGAAGATCTTGAAAATTTCAAGAAAACTAAAACTCAAATCGTCTAAATTCGTTTATTTCCTTTTCACAAAATAATCTCAAACATTTTTTTTGATAAAATTCTTTAAATCGCCCACACATCTCCATCACCTAGGCAACGAAATCGAGAGATTTTTTTCCAAAAAAAAGCAAAAATTTTTGCCGAAAATTGCTTGGAACGGAATCCCTATGGAAATCTTTTTTGGAAATTGTGCTCATTTCATTTTATTATTTAATTACTTTTTCTTACTTTTTATGAAGGAAATATTGCTAGAACTTTATGTGTTTTTAAAGAATTTGAACTTGAAATAAACTTTAGTCATTGATGGGCATGGCTCAATGGGATAGGCTTTTGGGAAATTTATGAACTTGAAACAATGATTAAGCACATTTTTACATATGTTGTGTCCGATTTAGATTTCCGTTCGATTTAGATTGAACTTATCGCGGACGTCTGATTTAGATTACAGTCTAAATAGGACGTCCTATTTAGATTGAACTTATCGGACGTCTGATTTAGATTACAGTCTATATCGGACGTCCGATTTAGATTGAACTTATCGCGGACGTCTGATTTAGTTTACAGTCTATATCGGACGTCTTATATAGATTGAACAATAATATAAACATGTTGAATATATTTTCTTAAGTGTTTTCTGTAGTTTTCTGCATTTTCAAAGGTCTTTTATTGATTACAGTCTATATCGGACGGAAATCTAAATCGGACACAACATATATAACAAATGTCTAGTCAGAGCTTTTCTTCAAAAGACAAACTTTTGCAATTTTTGATCACCGCCAGATTCTGGAAGAACTCGATAGCAGAACTTGAATAGCTTTCTTATATCTTAAGAGTTGAACTGACTCTAACTTCTGTCTCATTTCTCCCTTGTTCTTCCTTGTTCTTCCTATTTCTTCCTTGTTCTTCCTATTTCTTCCTTATTCTTCCTTGTTCTTCCTTGTTCATAACCAAGCTATCATATATTTAGTTTTCAATTTCAAACCTTCAATTGTTTCTATTTATTTTCAATCACAAAAGTAGCCAATTTCAAAATCTCTTTTCCAGCATTTCCACTTTCGTAAACGACTTCTTTGATAAGAAAAGGGGATTCTGGAAGAACTCGATAGCAGAACTTGAACAAATGTCTAGTCAGAGCAAATGTCTTTTGTCTTTTGTCTTTTTTGTGCAAATGTCTTTTAGCCTAATCTTGAAATCTCTTGAACTTATTGAAATGAATGAATTGAATGGGATTCGGTGGTGAAAAATAAAAATCATGGGGCGGGGTTTGAGGGAAAAGGAGATGGCCCTTCAGATGGAGAAAAGGGGGATGAGCTCCAAATCCCCTGATCTCTATCCCCAGCCTTCTCATCCTCTCTCGAAGCCCCTCCTCATCCATAGTAAGTGGGCATTGCTGGCCTTGCTCTTCTCCATAAACATCTCCATATCTATGCATTCCGATCGTTTTATTGATCGTTGTAACTTTGATCGAATTGTCCAACTGTCCAACAACTAATTTCATTGGTCCAACTTTCTTTAGCTTTCATTTCTTGGTTTGAAGTCTGAAAATGAGTATTTTTAATGGATAAATATGATAAAAAATGCTTCTTTTCTTCAAGAAATCTACTTTAATATGTAGTAAGAAAAGAAGAAATAAAATTAGATGAAAAGAATGACGTATAGATCCTTCTGAAGTAGACGAATGATTGTACTTCTAGGTATAACTATTTAAGTAATTGGTGAAATCTCATAGATGTTACGTGGGAAAATGGTTTGTAATCGTAACCTCTAAAATCATTTTCTCATGCTTCCCCCCTTCTCTTTTCTCATTTCCATTTCTTTTCGATATTTCGCTTCTTGAAGGAAAGCCTGATATTAGCCGATGAGAAGCTCATTATTGAGAGGAGATCTTGGAGAATGTGTGTACATCGAGAGATAGATGTTAGAGAATATTTGTACATCGAGAGATTCGTTAGTTAACTGAATATGGTTGATAGAATAGATAGAATTCTGCTGTTGTTGGAGAATATGTACATCGAGAGATTCGTTAGTTAACTGAATGGTTGATATAATAGATAGAAGTCCGCTGTTGTTGGAGAATATGTACATCGAGAGATTCTTTAGTTAACTGAATATGGTTCATAGAATAGAATAGATAGATTTCAGCTGTTGTTGGAGAATATTTGTACATCAAGAGATTCTTTAGTTAACTGAATGGTTGATATAATAGAATAGATAGAATTCAGCTTTGATATTTCCATTGTTAGCATTGTTAGTTTCCACTTATCTTGAATCCAATCCAAATCCAATTTCCCTCTTCAATCCAATGAAATTCAATGAGAATCTTTATCAAAAGACTACCAACTTTGTGTTATGACATTACCAACATTGTTAGCCTTAAATTGTCATTAGATCTTCATTTCCGTATTAGTAGGGTTTGGAATAAGCTTCCGCCTGGTATCTTCTCGTCTGTAGGAAAATTCAAAGTATCTGTGAACGAATTAGATCTTATTGCCATGTCAAATCTGCCCTATATTTAATCTTTTTGTATCCGTATTTCCTAACTGTACTCTTACTGTACTATCTTTAGCTTTCTCTCTTTTTTTTTTCGGTGAGAGTATTGTAGCAATATGTTATATGCAGTTATGATTATCTGATTCGCTTCTATTCGTCCCATGAATAAAGCATATATATATATTTCAAATTCAAATTCATCAACTTTAAATGTAAATCTTTTCTCAATCTATATCTCTTTCTCATCATTTTCTTCGCTTGCTTGCTCAAAAAAATTTTCTGCAGTGCTTTCAACCTTAAAAACTCTAGTCATAACATTTCTTTTCCTCATTTTCAGTCAAAATATCAAAAGAAAACCTAATCAAATTTGTTTTAATTACTTTTTAAACGTGCCTATTTAAAGTTTTTATGAAAATAAAGCAAAAAACTTCATTTTCCACCTGGATCAAAATGAAAATATCGAGCAAACTTTAAAGCTTATAATAGTTTTGTATATCTTTCTAATCAATACTCTATTTCCCTTTTTAATAAAACATGGAAAATGTGGTGTCTCTCTCCATCTACGGGCATCGATATGCAGTCGAGGATCTCAAGTTACCTCTCCGCTTCTCCCATCTTTTTCTCAGTCTCTCAATGTCTCAAGTTCTCAACTTTTTCATTTCTTTCTAGATCCAGGAATTATTAAGCCCTAAAGTTTCTTTTTCATTGAACTCTTAGTTAACTTTAGCTTTAGCTTTGGCTTTAGCTTTGGCTTTAGCTTTAACTTTAGCTTTAACTTTAGCTTTCCTCAGACTTCAGCTTTGACTTCCGATTTCTTTTCTCAGACTTCAGCTTTGAACTTCAGATTTCTTTCAACTTTATATTTGTTTTCTTATGTTCTCTTTCAACTTTCTATATTTATTTGAATCTTTATCAATCCTCTTCCAGGCTAACTACAAAAGGAGGCGCCGAGATGGGCCTGTGGGCACTGTTGTTAGTGCCGCTCGCGGCTGCTTCGCACATCTCAGTAAGAGAATGAAAAAGAATGAAAATATCTAGACTACAACAATAAAGATTTAAATGTCTATAAATTTGGGTTTTTTACAGTAGCTAAAAACATTGATATGCTAGAATAAAATAATCGTTTTAAACATCCGAAATACTTCTTTTTGAATAGATCAGACAATGACGAATCAATTCCATTTTATCCTAGCTGTTCACTGATTATTTATTAATAAAAGAAATCAAATTTCATCGCAAAAACGCAAAGAATTTGTAATTTCTTTTATTTTCTTTTACGAATTTTCTTTTCTTCGATAGAAATCGAATTTCCCGTTGGGATTTCCCAATTTCCTATCCAATATCCATGAAAAGAGAAGCTAGGAAAAGGAAATGTTTCAAAAACTTTCGAAAAATGTTTAAAGAAAGAGAAGATTTTAAAAATTATATATTAAAATTTCTAGGAAGTGGCAGTAAATGTGGATGAGTTGAGCGGTAAAAGACATTCAAGTTTCGTGCCGCTTGTCTCCTTCAAATGTGGATTCCGGTGAGGAAATTTCTTCATTCTTAGTAACGAAAATTCTCTAAGAGCATATTAGAAAGATGGGTTTGAAAGGCATTCAATATCTTGAAGGCTATAAGTTTTTTTGTGCTTTAAATGAGCCAAATTTAGCTTACTGTATTTTCTCTAATAGTAGTGGACCCAGCCGAGTTGGTGACTATTTTACGGTCTCCGAGCTTTCCCAGAAGCTCAAGACTCTAATCATCGTCAAGATCTCCTCTTCAGCTACATTTTCCAATCCCACATCGATAGGTTCTGATAAGCGGTTCTCGAGATTTCGAGGAATTTAGGCGACGCTCTCGGTGCACTACTATTAGAGAAAATAAACTAAAAATCCGTTCAATAGTTGTATATTTATGTTTCGAAACTTGAAAATTTCTAGAAACAGAAATAAAGAAAGCAAATACAATATTTCTAGAAACAAATACATGTCTGATGATGGTGAATGGGTGTCTGATGCGAATCGATACGCCACCTGCCAAACCGGGAAATTAGATATTCTCAAGTATTGCAAGCGGGTGAGCGATTAGTCTTTCGACATCGACAATTTCTGAGATATAGCTTGATTACTGTAAGCGATAAGATTCAATAATACTATAGAAAAGCTGTTCTCTTATTCAATTCACCAATCCTTTTCCTTCAAAAGAATCTTATCATATGCTCGACGAGGCGTGAAAATATTCCACCCGTCTTAAACAACATTTTCCCAGTTTCCTTTTCCTTTTTTTTCAGAAAGGAAACAATCATTCGATCTAGGCTCTAGTGAAGGGATAAATATAAGATTTGAATGCAATCATTTTAAAACGAAAACTAAAAACTTATCCAACACAAAATGTACACGATTATTCACTTAGCATTTAACTTTCAGTCAGGTGATTTCCTTGCTTTGTTGGCTTATCGACTTTTTTCTGTCTTTTCGTCTTTTTGTATCCTACCGTAGACTTGATCCTTTGGAGAGAAATAACACCGGAAACAGGAAATTGAAGTCGGTAATCTGACTTTTTAATGAAAATTGCTCATGCTTCATTTGAGCTAAAAGGAGTCATTTGTTTTGAATAGAAATCGGTGATCTTCAAGAACAGAGATCTTTAAGGAAGTGGTCAAATCAGAATTGGGCAACTTTTTTAAACCAGAGAATTGAATTTGAGCTTTCCGATGATTTCACCTAAAGCTTGTACTTCTGTTGTCCAAATTTCGATTCTCTTCAACCAGTGATTACTCAATTAGGGGCTTATGAATTAATGGCAGAGTTGAAAGGGAAAGGAAAGAAGAAGGAAAGGAAGAAAGAAAGGAAGAAGGAAAAGAATTGGGACAGAGAGAACTAGCAAGTGGTTGGATGAATGCTGCATTTGCACATTGGATTCAAAAGAGAAAAGAAAAAGGACAAGCCCTCTCTTCACTTCTCCACTCGTCTCACGAATATTTTATTGGACATGAGGGAAGGGGATGACAGGGACTTCTATCCGTTTGGCTCAGCCTTTCAAGGGGTTTTCCAGGATTTATATGCTAATTCTTTAAAGTTTAAGTGACAGAGGTTAGACTTGAATAAAGTCTTTAGGTGAAATCATCGGAAAGCTCAAATTCAATTCTCTGATTTAAAAAATTCAATAATACTGATTCTGATTCGACCACTTCCTTAAAGATCTCTGTTCTTGAAGATCACCGATTTCCATTCACTAATAGTAATCCATAACTGCAATGGTTTGAAGAACTAGACTAATAGTAAGCCATGAGTTCAATCGTTTGAAGATCCAGAGAATCACAAATGGATAGAAGATGTCTCAAAGCTTAAAAGAGAGGGCTCCAAATGAGAGATTTTCATTCAAATCAAATTATTGACAGGTAAATGAATGAAATTCGAGTTTAATTTGAAGCAAACGAACAGCTCAAATCGATTCTCTGCCACCGAAAACCCTCGGGTACAAAGCTAGAGCTGAATAAAAGCGATTAAAAATTTGAAATTGACTTGAAAAGTTGATTTTAGCTTTAAGTAAACGATTTTGAATGTAAAGATTATCGAATTTGTTTTCAATGTCCAAAAAATACTCATTTAAAGTGACCTTCTACCCTTCCATACCTCTTCTACCCTTCTAAAAATACCCTTCTCCTTTCCAAAATAATCTACTCAACCTTTACTTTACTATTTTGTTTTTTTTGTCTTGAGAGATCATTAATCTGCTTCTCGTATAGATCATAATCTAGATCATAATCTAGATCATAATCTAGATCATAACCTAGATCATAATCTAGATCATAACCTAGATCATAATCTAGATCATAACCTAGATCATAATCTAGATCATAATCTAGATCATAATCTAGATCATAATCTAGATCATAATCTAGATCATAATCTAGATCATAATCTAGATCATAATCTAGATCATAATCTAGATCATAAATGTTCCCTGCTATTCTTGGCATTATCCTTTCCAAAATAATCTACTCAACCTTTACTTTACTATTTTGTTTTTTTGTCTTGAAAAACCATTAATCTGCTTCTCGTATAGATCATAATCTAGATCATAAATGTTCCCTGCTATTCTTGGAATCATTTCTTGAAGAAGAAGAAGAAGAAGAAAGCATTTTCATTACAAATGCACACATTTTGTTCATCAATGTTAGAGGAAAAGAAGAAAGAATATAGAAAGATTCTTTCCTTAATGATCTTTTCGAAAAGGTCAAAATGCAAAAGTGTCTCCATTTCGAATGCGAAGAGATTTGCTGACCTTTTTTTGAAGCAATTTCAGCTAACTATAAGGCTGGGTACTATTCAGAAATTCAATCGTATTTAGATTAAGGATTATTCTGGGTTTAGAGTTGAGTAAAGTAGATAATTTGAACAGAACAGTGAACTGTTGAAATCCAATGTTCAAAAAAAGATTCATAACTCACAAATAACGCACAAATCGTTCGTACTAAGGCAACAATGGGATTGAGTTGACCAGTTTAAAGCTTAGTGAGTTAGGCAAATCCGGAAAAAGAAAAAGAGAAAGTGAAGGGAATTTTTCCACGACTAAACTCAAGAGAGAAGCTTCAGCAAGGAGGTCCTTGGGGACTCATGGCTTACTTATTAGTCTAGTTCTTCAAACCATTGGAGTCATGGCTTACTATTAGTCTAAATCTTCAAACGATTGGACTCATGGCTTACTATTAGTCTAGTTCTTCAAACTATTGGAGTTAAATCTAGATCTTGAAGTACTATGCTCTACTTTATCTAATATATCTATCACTTGTTGTATTTACAAGTTACAATGGATGAATTCTTATCAGTGATCTTTTATAAGTACAAGATTATCTAAAAAGACCAGCAAAAGGTTTCCAGATTAGATTAGAATCAAAGTAAACCTAGCGAGTCAAACTGTACTCTTACTGTGGTTCAAATATCTCAAATACTTGAAATATTTCAAATTTGCATAGAAGTAGGAATATTTGAGAGTCCTTTGGGAGTTCAGAGCCTTCAGCTTTCCCATTTCTTTTCTTTGTCCAACTAGTCGAATAAACGGGGAGAATTTATCACCCAACAATGGGGGAAAAAGCTGAAAACATGTATACAATTGTTAGAATAGGAAAGGAGTGATGAAAGGAAGAGATGATCAATCAAAAAAAGAAAATCTCTGTGTTGGAATCTTTAGAAAACATGTTGAGGTAACTTTGGGAAAAGCAGAGATTTTGGTTGATCAACCTGGGGAGATTTTGTACGATTTACAGACTGCCATATAGATTCTAAGATAATTAAGATATCTAACCTTTTCCAGCTACCTCCCCATCAATAAATTCTAGGCTTATCCAACCTTGAACGTCACAAACATCGTTGAGTACTCGCATGAGGTGACTGTTGAGAAATGGTGCAAGGAAGAGGGCTCGCCTTGTAAATGGAGTCACACTGTTCGACCATATAGATGCATTGGTGAGTAAACAACCCTTCAAACAATATAATCTTCAATTTTCAGTTGGCGAGTTCCACTCTGAGGCTCTTCAAGTGCCAAAGGGATGTAAATTCTCTCATGTGAATGGCAGAGATCAATGCAATGATTACAATCATTGGAAAGATGTCTCAATGCAACAATGTAATGCAAAGGTAAAGAAATTCAGAGTATTTTTGATTGAGAATATGGAATTTAGGGAACAACGATGAATGTGCGCTCTTTTGCTATGTTGGAGCCATGCGGGCTTGATTTATTTACTGGAGTTGAGTTCGTGTGCTGTCCATCAAATGGTTAGTTTCAAGATTACTTCGTTAGTTAATTAGAAGTTAACTAGAAACTAGAAGTTAACTAGAAGTTAACTAGAAGACTAACTAGAAGACAAACTAGAAGACTAACTAGAAGTTAACTAGAAGTTAACTAGAAGATTAACTAGAAGACTAACTAGAAGACTAACTAGAAGACTAACTAGATGACTAACTAGAAGACTAACTAGAAGTTAACTAGAAGATTAACTAGAAGACTAACTAGAAGACTAACTAGAAGAGTAACTAGAAGACAGTTAGATTATATTTCAAGCATTGAAAAAAACTTAACTACGGATCTAGGCGAGCCACTGATTGAGGTGAAACCAGTTACTCAAAAAGCTGCCGTGAAAAAGGAGGAGTACGATGATGAGTATGATGATGATGATGATTCAGGTTTGAGATTCATCAACTTCTTCAGAATATAGTTTCTTTAGTGTCATTGGAATCTGATGAGGACGATGATGAGACCAAGAAAGAACAAGATCCATACTTTAAAACCATTGATCCAACAAATGAACACGAGAATTTCAAGAAAGCCGCCGAGAGATTGGAGAAGAAACACCGGGATAAGATTAACAAGGTTTCAAATCAAATACATTAAACAAGAAAGAACAAGATTCATGCTTTTAGTACTTAATAGTTACACTAGTTGCACGGTACGGTGTTTCAATCATTTTAGTACATATAAAGTACATATTTTATACATATAAAGTACATATAAAGATACGATAACTTTTATTTATATTTATTAGGAGCATTAGGATGGTAATACTAATAGTAAACAAGATTCATACTTTTAAAACCTAATTTGTTTACAAGTATTACCATCCTAATGCTCCTAATAAATATAAATAAAAGTTATCGTATCTTTATAAGGACTAAAATTATTGAAACACCGTACCGTGCAACTAGTGTAACTATTAGCGTAAATACTGTAATAGTACCCCACCCCCATAATGACGGTGCGGAGTGTTGCGTAGTCTAGCTTTGAACGAGTTTTTCTCGACACTGGTTTATGCTACAATGCGCGCTTAGGTACCAAAAAATAGCTGAAATTCAGGGCTATTTTTTGATACCAAAGACGCTTTTTTTGAAAGTACGGGCGCTTTGAAAAAAATGAAATACTAAAAAAATACTAAAAAACTTTTGCGACTACGTGACTGTACGAGGGTGGTGGGGTAGTATTACAGTATTTACGGTAAGTACTAAAAGTTACAGTACTCTTCAATATCTTTCAGCTTATCTTTCAGCTATAAAAAGTTATTTTTCAATAATATTTTTCTCATTTACTCGAAATTTTTCATAAAAACACTCATCCGGATAAGCTCTTGATGATGGAGAATTTTGTTTTTTTATTTTTTAAGGCATCAATCAAAAAAAATCTTTTAGGTGATGAAAGAGTGGAGTGAATTGGAGGGAAGATATAAGAAAATGACACAAAAGGATTCGAAAGGAGCAGAGGCATTCAAGGCTGAGATGACAAATCGATTCCAAAAGACTGTCGCATCGTTGGAAGAGGAGAATAAGCAAGCAAAACAAGAGATTGAAAAGGTGGGAGTTAGAGAAAACTAGAGATTTATGTAACTCTCATAGTGGTAGAGTATTGTAAAATACTATCCAGCTTCTATCCAGCTTCTAATAAAGCTTCTAGCCAGCTTCTATCCAACCACTATCCAGCTACTAATAAAGCACTTGTTACGATCCCTAGTGCAATGCCTACTATAGAATCTTTACAGCAGATTACAGTATAGTAGGATAAAGTACAATATGTTACTCTTACTCTATCAACCAATTCTTTTAGGTTCACGAGGAACGTGTGCAAGAGGCGTTGAACGAAAAGAAACGTCAGGCCACTCACGATTACCGCCAAGCTTTGGCTCTTCACGTTGGATCAGCAAACAAGCACAATGTGCTAAAAACTCTTAAATCGTATATTCGATCTGAGGAGAAAGATCGAATTCATATGTTGAATCGATACAGACATTTGATGAGGACTGATATCGTTGAGGCAAAGAAATCCAAGCCAGAATTGTTGCATCGATTGAGGTGAGGAGAGGGGAGATTATGCTTTGAATACTTTGTGTCTGCTTAAGTTTAAGAAGAGCAATTAGCTTACGTGCTTAAAGCTTACATTACATACAGACATTTGATAAGAACTGAGATCGTTGAGGCAAAGAAATTCAAGCCACAATTGTTGGTTGAGGTGAGGAGGAGAGGGGAGATTATGCTTTGAGTACTTTGTGTCTGCTTAAGTTTAAGAAGAGCAATTAGCTTAGGTGCTTAAAGCTTAGCAAATAAAGCTTAGGCTTAGGCTTAGGCTTAGGCTTGGGCTTAGGCTTAGGCTTGGGCTTATTTAAATCCATCTAAATAAAGCCATTTAAATCCATTTAAATCCATCTAAATAAAGCCATTTAAATCCATCTAAATCTAGATCTAAGTATGCTTTAGGTATATCGATTTGCGAATCAATGGAACGCTGGCCATGCTTCGTGACTTCCCCGATCTTGAGTCACAGGTAAATTCACTTAAAACAGTTTTGATAAGGATAGATTATATTAAATGATAAGCTGAGATTTCATATGCAAATTCTAGGTTCGTCCAATTGCTCTCGCTTTCTGGTCAGATCTCCGTAAAGAAAACACTCCTGAGATCACCGACGAGGAGATCAACAAGTTGAACTCGCTCTCCAATGAGGTAAGATTGAAATTCTATTGCAATTAGATCTAATGATCAATTAGATCTGAAGATCAATTAGATTTTATTTAAAGAACAAATTCTAGGCTCAAATCGAGAATGAGAAAGAGATCAAGGTCGCCACAACCACTGAGGCCTCGAAGAAAATCGAGAAGACCAAAGTAAGAGAAGTTTACTTGAAAATTTACAGCTATAGATCTAGTTTTGTAGCTTTAGAAATAATTATCAATTCAGGTTCTTCCTGATGACACTCGTGATAGTGAAGAAGATGATGATGAGTATTACGAGGATGAGGACGATGAGGAAGTGAGAAAGATCAAGAAAGTGCCGATCAAGGCTGAGGTTTGGAGAGATTTTTGTTCAATTTGACAATGAGAAATGTTAAATCTTTACATAAAGATCTAGAAGGGAAGTAGAAATGATTTGAATTAACTATTCCTAACTCTAAGAAAAGATTCAGCTACCAGTTTATAAGTACTATTCAAGTTACCATATTCTCTCAAATAGTAGTGCACCTCTCGGTGCGTCGCCTAAATTCCTCGAAATCTCGAGAATCGCTTATCAGAACCTATCGATGTGGGGTCGGAAAATGTAGCTGAAGAGGAGATCTAGACGATGATTAGAGTGTTGAGCTTCTGGGAATGTTTAGAAACCGTAAAATAGTCAGCGGCCCGCTGGAGTGCACTACTATTAGAGAAAATACCGTATCAGTTTATTACTTTCATTTTTCTAGCAACAAAAAGTCGAGCTGAAGCCAAAGCCAATCTCTGTTGAAGTGGAAGAGCTTAAGAAAGAGTTACCAAAGAAAGATGAAGGAGTACAAACTGATAAAGAAGATGAAGATGAAGATAGTGATGAGAGTGACAGTGATGAAGATGATGACAAGGATACGATCAAGGTGAGAATAGGAATGTAGAACAGTAGCTGAAGGAAATCTTTTTAAAAGTCTACATTCGAACTTCGAATTTTGTTTATTTATTAAATTTAAGGAGCTTCGTGTCGATATTGAGCCAATTATTGAGGAGAGTGCTCTCCGTGATGTTCACGCTTCACCAGCTTTCTACCGTCATGATAAACTCGTCCAGAGTGAAGTGGGTAACTAAATTGAGATAAGCACTAGTTAGAACTGAGTTTGACAAGGCTGTATAACTGTTTATCTTGTATAAATGAGAATTTACAAGCCTTATCGAAGACGAATGATTACTGACGTCATTAAAGCCGATTGACTAAAAGCCTTATATCTTATTCAAGGGTTTAATTCAAAGATTATTACCGTATTCTCTCTAATATCAGTGCACCGAGAGTTAATTCAGAGCAAATGTAAGGATGATTTCTAAAATGTATTACCGTATTTTCTCTAATAGTAGTGCACCGAGAGCATCGCCTAAATTCCTCGTAATCTCGAGAACCGCTTATCAGAACCTATCGATGTGGGCTTGGAAAATGTAGCTGAAGAGGAGATCTTGACGATGATTAGAGTCTTGAGCTTCTGTGAAGACTTTGCAATCTGTAAAATAGTTACCAACTTGGCTCGCTTGGGTGCACTACTATTAGAGAAAATACAGTAACCATGGGGAAGAAAAGACTGACTAAAAAAGACGCGGAATGAGCCCATTTTTAACAATATAGACCGTATTCTCTCAAATAGTAGTGCACCGAGAGCGTCGCCTAAATTCCTCGTAATCTCGAGAACCGCTTATCAGAACCTATCGATGTGGGGTCGGAAAATGTAGCTGAAGAGGAGATCTTGACGATGATTAGAGTCTTGAGCCTCTGGGAAAGCTCGGCGACCGTAAAATAGTCAGCGGCTCGCTGGAGTGCACTATTATTAGAGAAAATACGGTATCAGTTTATTACTTTCATTTATAGTTTATTTTCTCTAATAGTAGTGCACCGAGAGCGTCGCCTAAATTCCTCGAAATCTCGAGAACCGCTTATCAGAACCTATCGATGTGGGGTTGGAAAATGTAGCTGAAGAGGAGATCTTGACGATGATTAGAGTCTTGAGTTTCTGTAAAAGCTTGGAAACCGTAAAATAGTCACCAACTCGGCTCGCTGGAGTGCACTACTATTAGAAAAAATACGATAATTCTTTTTTTTCCTTATTTATCGCTTTTGGCTATTTCTTTGTATCAAATTATACAAAATAAATCTATTCTTTAAATAACAATTACTTTTTTCTAGATTGATTCCGAGCTTTCGTCAATGGGAGCTCTCAGTTCAACGCAAATGATCGTTTTGATTGGAGCTGCTGTTATTTGTACGCTTCTTTTAGCGTTTGTTGTCAACAACAGACGACGACGAGCTCATGCCGGCTTCATTGAGGTTAGTATTGGAAAAACTATAGTAATTCATCATAAAATTCATTAATCATCAAGCTTACCGTAAGTCAATCTACCGAAATACGATATCTACCGTATCTATGGTACCGTAATCTCTACCGTATCTACCGTAATTGAATCTTAAGCCTATCCATCTTCAATCAATCAATCAATCAATAAAATTCGCTTTCTTTAGGTTGATGTGTGCACTCCGGAAGAGCGTCATTTATCGGGAATGCAAGTGACCGGCTACGAGAATCCAACTTACTCATTCTTTGATGCTAAACCCTAAAAAACTGTACGAAAACCTGTACTGTACTCTTTCAATTTTAATTTAATTCAATTTAAATTCAATTCAATTTTGATCTTCTCATCAAAAAGATAAAAAAGGAAGATTTTTTTCGAAGAAAATTTCCTCCAATTTCCTTCAATTTCCTCCAATTTCTCCAATTTCCACTGGAGTTCTGGTAAAAATGATCTTATTTTTTCTCATTTTCCCACTTTTTTATAGTAAAAAAAACACAAAACCAGTAATTTTTCAAGTTCAAAATCTGTTTTTTTTACGAAAAATGAATTTTTGAAACAAATTTGTGTGCATAAGTTGTGATTTTTTGAAGTAAAATTATGTTTTTAATGTTTTTTCTAAAGTAAAATCATCTTTTTATATCTTTTTTATCCTTTTTTTTTTCTAAAGCACTGGTGATTTTTCTTGTTTTTCGGCAAAATTAAGGGATTGCTATGGAGTTGAAAAGAATTTGAAAATCTTGAAAAAAAAAAAGCATTTGAAAGTCCTGAAAGTCTGCATACGCATACGCATCGCAAATCGCATACGAATGCTTCCATTCAAAACAAAAAAGCTTCCCAAATTTTCCCCCAAAACGATCGTCCTCGTCGTGTTGTGCGAAAAAAAAAACCAATCCTAATCGAAAATCAAAATTTTGGCGATAAAAATCCCCCCGTTTTCCCCTTAATTTTCGACAATTTTTATGTATTTTTCACAAAATTTGTATGTTTTCGTTTTGTAGAATAAAATTTAGACAAAAGGTTTTTAAAGGACACGGAAATTGGAGTAAAAGGTAAATGATCTGCATTCTTACTAGGGAATGGCACCAGGGCATAGTCGCCTTTTAAGCCGAGAGCCACCGGGCCTTATAGAATCGGCTTTATAGAATCGACTCTATAGAATCGGCTTTATGGAATCGGCTTTATGGAATCGGCTCTATTGAATCGGCTCTATAGAATCGACTTTATAAAATCAGCTCTATAGAGTCAGCTCTATAGAATCGGCTTTACAGAATCGACTTTACAGAATCGACTCTATAGAATCAGCTCTATAGAATCGGCTCTATAGAATCAGCTTTATAGAATCGGCTTTACGCAATCAGCTCTATAGAATCAGCTCTATAGAATCGGCTTTACAGAATCGACTCTATAGAATCAGCTCTATAGAATCAGCTCTATAGAATCGGCTATGTTGATTTTAAATATGCTTTCACTTTTTCCAAAGGAGCTCCGTAATGTGGGATTTCTGGAAGAAAATTCAGAATCAGCATAGCCGATTCTACAAAACCCCGTGGCTCTCGTATTAAAGGGCGACTTTCACCTAGTGCCTTTCCCTAGTTAGATCCTCTTTAGATATCTTTAGATCCTTATCCTTATCATCTTTAGATACAGATATCATTCTTAAAATTAGTACAGTAGTATCATCTTTAGAATAATGCTAGATACAAAAAGATTTAGAAATATCTAACCCGTAAAAGTCGATCGAAAAATTGAAAAATCTAGGGATGAGATAGTATTAGGTTGATGCAAAAGTCTTTTTCATTTTTTTCGTACTTCCGTTAAAAAGTAACAAATGCACCAATTGAACAACGGTTTATTGCATTCGAAAGGCCAATTATTTTTCTGCAAAATGACATTAAAACGAGTTTAAAATGTCTTATGTCTAGATTTTTTTGAGAGCCTGAAGTCGGGTAGTCAAAAAAGGCGACGGCTCGATGATGCATTTTAGACGCTTTAGCTAAGGAAACCAATCTTGATGTTAATAAATAAAAGATAGAGCACAAAAAGTTCGATATTTTTTCAGATTTTCAGAGAAATTGATTCAGCCAATTTCTTTATAGAGGTTTTTATAGATTTTTATGAAAAACCCGTTTTTCACTCTCGAATTTGCTTGAAAGTGAACCCAAATTGATTTAAAAAGATGGGAAATTCAACAATAAACACTTTTCATTTAGAGCAAACCATAGGTTAATTGATGACTTTGTTATTTTTCAAAAGAAGTACGAAAAAAATGAAAAACACTTTTGCATCAACCTAATATTTGTTCAGTAAAAAATACTTATTGGAACTAGTTACTTAGATTAAATGCAAATTAAAAAGAGATTCCGATTGGGATCTTTGAAGCTTTGAAAAGACACCAAAATTAATTCTAAAGCTAATTGTTGGCATTTTCTAAAAATACTAGATTGATTTTTGATTTGTCAGAGTAAAAATAGATTCAGTTTTTCTATTTTAAAACAGTATTTTGAATGTTTACAGAGTGTTAAAAAAGAGTGGTCATCGATTTGAGTTTCGACAAATTTTCTCGTTGATTTTTCAAGGCTCATCGTCGTTTCAGAATTGGTTTTGTTTCAGGATCAAGATCAAGTTGATCAAAAAGATCAAGTTGATTTGTTTATGGTTTTGTGAATGGTCATGCATTGGGCGGGGAGCTCAAAATCCATGTATATGTCGTTAACGAATGAAATTTTTCGCTAGCCGTTACGAATGATTCGTTAGCGGCTGAATTTCGTAAACGGCTACATGAAAAACACACTTTTCAATTCCCCTATTTCACCACAAATCTTTCTACTTTTTGTCTCTATCAATTTTTTTTGATATTAGAAGCTTGAAAATAAGAAACCTTAAAAATTTTATTCTTTTAATGTTTCTAGCCACAATTTCAGTTTGTATTGTTGGATTGGCTGCTTTAAAAATCAAAAAAAGAATCAAAAAGCAACAACAAGAGAGTTTTCGTCGCTTAAAAATGAATCATATTATTTTGATGATTTTGTGAATGATCAAAATTCAAAAGTTGATCTCAAAAGCTTATCTCAAATTCTAGCCACAATTTCAGTTTGTATTGTTGGATTGGCTGCTTCAAAAATCAAAAAGCAACAACAAGAGAGTTTTCTCGTTTGAAAATTAATCATAATTTTGAAGATTTTGTGAATGGTCATGCGAGTTCAAAATCCAAAAGCTCATCTCCAAAGCCGATCTCCAAAGCTTATCTCAAAACCTCATCTCAAAAACTCATCTCAAAAAGCTCATCTCAAGCTCATCTCAAGCTCATCTCCAAAGCTTTGTGAGCTCAAAAACCACGTAGAAAAAGTAGAAAGATTTGTAGTGAAATAGAGGAATTTAAAAGTGTGTTTTTCATGTATATGTCGTAGCCGTTTACGAAATTCGGCCGCTAACGAATGAAATTTTTCGCTAGCCGTTTACGAATGATTCGTTAGCGGCTGAATTCCTTAAACGACTACGACATATACGTGGATTTTGAGCTTCCCGGCCGATACAGGAGCATTCACAAAATCATCAAAAACTACGGTTAATTTTCGTTTCAGAAGTGATTCAAAACCATGTAGAAGCCAAAATTTCCAATAAAAAACCTTCCAAAAGAAGATTTAAATTTTTTGCAAAAAAAGTTTGGGAAAATGATCTCGGGCGGGATCGAACCGCCGACCTTCTGTGTGTTAGACAGATGTGATAACCACTACACCACGAGACCGATTGGAGGTAGGTGGAATGATCGGGTTTAAATCTGAAATACTCTGAATCGAATAAAAAAATTGTTTGGTTGAGTTTACTTGAATTGATAAAGTTTAGGCATAAAGCCAAACTGATCTTTGAAATGATCTTTCGAAGAGATCTTTGAACTGATCTTTCGAAGAGATCTTTGAACTGATCTTTGATCTTCGAGTCAATCGTTTAAGAAGTTCAAGTAAACTCAACCAAACAATTCTTTTATTCGATATTGTGATCAGTTATTGTGAAGACCTTTTCTTCACCAGAAGTTTGAATTGACTTTTCGAAGAGTAGTTGAAGAAGAGCCGGCTTTTCGAATTGAATCGCTTCTGAAACGAAAATTAACCGTATTTTGTTGATGATTTTGTGAATGGTCCTGCATCGGCCGGGGAGCTCAAAATCGACATATATGTAGTAGCCGTTTACGGAATTCAGCCGCTAACGAATCGTGGGAGACGAGCCGGCTTTTCGAATTGAATCGCTTAACATTTCTTGCATTGAGTTGAATTGAATTGAATAATTTCAATAGTTTCCAAAAGACATTTTTCAAATCAGAATGCGAGAGATCGTTCTCATCAATCACAAACTTCTTTTCAAATCTTTACTTCTATTAGTCCAATTACTTGATCAGTTATTGTGAAGTTATTGTTTTTGTTACTTTTCCTCGCCAAAAGTTTGAATTGAATCGTCGGTTTTCTTGTGGTTTCCTCATGAAGCCCGAAATGATAAAAACAAAGAGTCAAATTCTATTGCTTCTCCGTTTTTCTCCAGTTAGATTTAAAATAAAGTATATTTATTCGACACGAATCAATGAATTACAAAACAACGGAGGAAATTTTGATCACTAATTACCCCTATTACCTAAATGTTGTTAAGAAAAAACCCATGGGAAAAAGAAGGAATCTTTCTAGCCGCCGGGGTCGAACCCTTAACAGATAATTGAATTCTTTAACTTTAATTTTCAAATTCAATCTGACTTGTCTGTGAACTGGAATTGTCTGGGAACTTATCTGGAAGAGTTCTCAAGGTTCATGAAACTTCTTCAACTCAAGGATCTAACTTGTCTGGGAACTTATCTGGAAGAGTTCTCAAGGTTCATGAAACTTCTTCAACTCAAGGATCTAACTTGTCTGGGAACTTATCTGGAAGAGTTCTCAAGGTTCATGAAACTTCTTCAACTCAAGGATCTAACTTGTCTGGGAACTTATCTGGAAGAGTTCTCAAGGTTCATCAAATTTCTTCAAGAATCATTAAATTTTCTTTAAAAGGCGGGGAAGTATTAATCCGGGTGACCATAAAAAAATTTTTTACGGCAACCATCTGTTTTTTTATTTTAATATCGCTGATTTTATTATAAAAAGAATAAAGATCACCCGGTCTCCAAAAATTTGTAAACCCATTAAATCACTCTAACCGGGTGATTAATACCCCCCTTTAACCTCCCGACTTGGAGACAAGACTCCTATCCGGTCGGCTACGACGGCTACTTTGAAATTGAATTTGAAAACATTTCAAAAAAATCTCGAGAAATTGATCAGAAATGTCACTAGAAATGTCTGTAGTGGAGAAATTAGACATGTTAAAGTGTTAAAGCTCTTGATGTTAAAGCTCTTGATGTTAAAGCTCTTGATGTTAAAGTACTTGATGTACTGAATCGAAAACTAGACTAGAAATGTCACTAACAATGTCTGTAGTGTAGAAACTAGAAATGTCAAAGTGTCAAAGTGTTAAAGTGTTAAAGTACTTTTCTTAAACCGATCATCTTTATCTTTGAAATCAATTTTGATTTGAAATAGAAACTTTCAAATGAATGAATGAATTCGTGCGATTTCTGAGAAAGCTTTAAATTTATTCTTCAAAGAAAGTGAAATGAATAATGATCAAAAGGATAGAAAAGTAAACAAAAAAAAGAAAATCCGTAAAAATCTTCGCATAGCCATAAAAAGAAATTACGCAAAAATTGTGTTTTATTGCCAGAAAAAGGACCAAAAAAAAAGTTAAGTGAGAAATTCGAAAAAAGTCGCTTACATAAAGCAAGTTACAATATAAAATATCAAAAAATCGGTAAAGAGGAATGTTTTGATTCACAAAAGAAAAGCATCTTATTTAGTTTCAAGAGTTTCTTAAATGAAAAATGAAAAAGTAAAAAGGAAAAAGGAAAGGAAAGGAAAGCAAAGCCTAGCAAAGCTTAGGAAAGCTTAGCAAAGCTTTTTTTAGTTTATAAAAGTGAATGTTTAGAATCGATAGAGAGGAAATTTGGATGAGGAAATTGAAAATTAAAATTTAGGATAAAAGGAGGATTTGAAATCGAAGTGAAATCAGGAATTCGGTAGAAAAGAGTGGATTTTAGTAAATGGAGAAATAGATGTATCGATAGAAAAGGACTACGGTAGAAAAGAGTGAATTTTAGGAAGCAGAGAAACGGATGTATCGGTAGATATCGATAGAAAAGAGTGAATTTTAGAAAACAGAGAAACAGATGTATCACGGGAACACCGGTGGGATGGGGTGAGGGGATGGATGAAGCTTTTTGAGGGGAACAAATGGAAGTCGATAACGGTAGCAGCTTTCATTGTACATTTGCATCTTCATTTGCATCTTCAGCTAACCGATTTCTTCAACTCATCAGTAGCATCCGAACCTGACACTAAGAAATATAGACATGATTTCGAAAATCAACTATGTCGATTCAAGAAAAGGCTAGATTTTTAAAAATTTTGGCTTAAAAGTGGAAACACACCCCTTCTGGCGCACTCATTTCAACTAAACCGTCTTCTTTAGCGTGTACTTTGTGCTCAAAAAAGTAAACAAACCCTTTCTAGCAAAAAGAATCGGCAAAAATAATCATTGCGTCAAGATGGATATGTTTCTATTGGGTTGATGCATAATTATCCGGACTTCTTTTATAAATGATTTTATTTAACAAAAAATAACATAAATAGTTAGAAAAATATGTTTAATTGATTATTCTGGAGCATATTCACCGCCTACATCAATAACTGATTGCCATTTGCTTGGAAGACGATCGATTCCACGAGCGAAGAATAAACGATCTTTGGAGGCAATCCACGCTTTAACATCGTCTATCAAGTCATCCAAATCGTTGTAGATCTTATTTGTTTGCCAATTTTTGAGCGATCGATTGACGTGGTAGTCCGTTGGGGCTTCTCCAGTTCTTTGAGATCGCGAAACGACTCTGCGGCAGACCATCCCTTTTCGAAGTGGTAGAGCATGATATGGCGAAGATGGATATGATTGTCGACACGCATTTTGTTCACTAAAGAATAACGAATATTTTAAAAAAAAGAAATAGACAAAAAGCTTTCAAAACAAAAAAGATACAAGCACGCAAAAAGAAGTCCGGATAATTATGCATCAACCCAATATTTTAAAGCTCAATTTTTTCACTGACCAGTCACCTTTCCATGTACTTTTGAGTGAAAAAAATCAAAACGTATCCTATTTAACACACTTAAATCACCTTCTTCATCTTTAAAAGAAGAAATGAATGCTTAAAAGAGGTACGTATCCTATACTTAATTCATCTTCTATTTTTAAGCTCAATTCTCTCAGCGACCAGTCACCTTTCCATGTACTTTTGAGTGAAAAAAATCAAAACATATCCTATTTAACACACTTAATTCACCTTCTTCATCTTTAAAAGAAGAAATGAATGCTTTAAAAAAGTACATTTCGTTTACCACAAAGTACACAAATTTTTCATCAAAATTCAAACAAATTTCAACCAAAAATTTTCAACACTTTTTTAATTCGTTTTAAAAATTTTAAGAGCAAATATAATAATAATAATAACGATTTGATCTGTCTTCGCACTTAGCGCAGATCACAACCCGCTTCCACATTTACTGAGGCAGAAGTGTAGTTGTCGTAGCCGATGATACTCCGATGGCCGGGCTGGGGCGCTCGGAGGGGAGCCCATGGGAGTCGAACCCACGACTAACCCGCGCCGACGTTGCTCAACTTGGCAGATCGGACGGGGTCGACCACAGACCCTTCCCTTTCTGGGCCCAGAGCAAATATTATTAAAGCTATTTGTAAATTTTGTTATTTAATCTAGCATTGATAACGATCAAAAAGCGAATTCTTTAAGAAAGATTTGAAGAAATTTAAGGAGTGAGTGGAGAAATTTCTCGGAGAAGCTCGAGGAATTTTCTCGATTGGAGAACGCTCGTTTTTCTCACTTTCCTTTGTTTTTCGCACACCTTGCGTGCATTTTTGGGGAAACAATAAGTCCAAAATCGAAAAAACTCTCGATTTTTCTTTCTTCATCTTATCTGGACAATATTTCCACTTTTTCTCTGCCACTGATTTCATGAACTACACTAATAGTTTAAACTCAAAGACAAGGGAGTTACAGACGTGCGAAAGTGACGATCGTTTTTCAAATATCATATTTCATTGTCCAGTACTGTACATCGATCGGCTCAGCTACTGTATATTTATTCTCAACTTTATCCAATAGCAGCTCAATATTTCTGGATCTTCTAGACTTTTTCGGAATACTGTAGTCTAATCCTTAAGCAGAACTGGCGTGCCCCGAACTACCGTAATCTTCACGAGTTTCACTAAATCTTTGCTCAATTGAGATATCGGAAGTAGTGTATCTTCTAGAGTTCTTTTGAATCTCATTTCATTTCTAAAGAGCGAATACTAGCTGTAGTACTGTATCTCCTAGCTTTTCTCATCAGGTTCACTTCTGAGGTTAAACCCTTCAAAACACTGGATATTGTATCTTCTTTCCCCAATTTGTAAAGAAGTCGGATTACTGTAGTTTATAAGTTTTCTATCAGAGACATTTCGAAAAGATTGATCACTGTATTTTCTTTTCCCTAGATTACAGTAACTCGAGTGTTCAGCAATTTGAAAGCTGAAAGGTAAAGTCTGATTCTGATTGATCTCTTTTCTGATGATACTGTCGTCTGATCGTTCTGACTGTTCCATTTGAGAGCTTGAAGTGATAGAATAGTTGTGTGTCGACAAAGATCTCGATATTCACTGTTATCTTGTTCATCTTCAACCGATTTTCGATCCTCTTCGACTTTGAGACTTTTCATTTTGAGAATTTGAAGAAACTGAGCCTTCTCGAGCTCAAAAGCTCGTAATTGATCTTACAATTTTGTGAAGGTTAAACAATTCTGAAGTCTGTTCTTTTTCGAGACCTTGTTGTTGATGTAGATCAAGAAAATCTTGTTCTAAAGCCAATTCTTTATCTGTCCAATACTCTTGTTTTATCATCTCAAAATTTGAGTTACTCTGTACAAAGTCTAGCATCTTTTGGGGGCTTAATTGATTGATTGAAGATCGTTTCGACTTTAGATTCAAAGTTTGACTGGTTGAGGCTTTATTCGATTGTTGATCTTGAGCTAAACTTAATCGAAAACTTGGCGAGATTTCAGTTAAATGGATCAACTTTACCGATTTCGGGGAATCAGAAAGATCGAATCTCTTCGTTTTCTGAATTTTCTCAAATTCTGATTCTTTTTCAAAAGCTTCACTCTTTTTTGAGAATCTCTCCGAGTTTATCCAAACATTGGCAGCTTTTTGACTCATTGCTTCTTCAAGTTCTTTCTTCATTATTTGATTGAAATCTTCAGCCTTTCTCTGATCAACACTCTTCACACTGCTTTTCGAGATCAAAATCTCAATTTGTTCTGGTTGATTGATCAAAAAAGTGATGATTTTCGGTTGTTCCAAAAAAGTTTTTGATTCTTTGACAGAAAAAGTCGATTCTCTTCTAGACGAAGTTAAAGTTCACCTAATGGAGCGCGAAACTTCGTGCTCTTTGTTCTTCAAACTCTTGCCTTTACATCTTTGAATATCGTGTTTCATTCCTGATCCTCTTCTTGAACCCGATGGCTCCATAACTCCACTTCTATCAACTCTCGAAAAAGCTGATTCTCGTCTTGAAGTTGATATGGTCGTTCCACTAATTTCTAGCTGATTTATCAAAAGATTTAAGTTTCTTCTTGAATTCGAACTCTCATGGTTGCTTGATTGGCTTCCTTCAACTCTTGAAAAGGCCGATTCTCTTCTTGCACCCAGGGATTCACTTCCAATTCGACTTTTTGCTTGAAAACTCTATTTCACTGGATCCAGCATTTCTTTGGGCAAGATTACTGTAGACGATTGAGCAGATGCAATGCCCATTTGATCGTTTCCAATGTTTGACTGCCTTCTATCTCGAGTTGTTCAACTTGTTCATCAATTCTATATCTTTTCTATATCTAGACGATAAAGTTTTCAAGAAAGTCGATGTAGTTGAATGAGCTGTTTCAGTTTTGCCGGAAGTTTTCAAGGTCACTTTTGAGATCTCCTCATTTCCAGATTCGTTTGGTTGAACTCTTCAAAATTTTCTTGATCATCTTCATCCGAATTTCGGATATAAGCAATATTATTGTTAAAGCGAAACATAGGTTCACTTTGCTCAATGATAAACTTTTCTTTTCTTCTAACCACATGCTTGTCCCAGTCGATTTCTTCATAGGTTTTACAATTTTCAGTAAATCCTGGACGTGTTTCAATGTCCCTAACATTTCCCAACTCCGACTCACTCCTAATCTCATTTTCAGCCTGAAAAGTAAGTAAACTAGTAAACGCTTAGCATCTAGTGCACTAAAAATTACTTTAGCTATCTTACAGTACACTTAAAAACTTGTAAACATTTAGCATCTAGTGCACTAAATATCATTTTGACTATAACACTATCAGAAAAAAGTCGATTTTAATATCAGATGTTGATAACCTTATAAAGTTTATATATTTATTTATATAATATTCTAAATTCTATGTACTAAACGATAGATTAGCTAGATTAGTAGTAAGATGATTTTTCAGACTCACCAATGCTTCCCTCATCATCAACGAGATTGTCAGAGGATTCTTTGAGGCGCCGTGGATATCCCAAACCGCGTGTTCTCACGGCTCCACTTCGTGCATGATTCATGTCACGCATCAAGCTAAATTTGGCATTTTTTTTTGTGAAAGCTTGATTTTTAGATTCAAGTTTTAGTTACACTAGACTTCAGAAGTTCAGTGTTTTCATTTGTTCAACTTCAACTTCAAAGTTCATTTGACAATTGACAGTACTCACTGGACGAGTACTCAAAAAGCTTTAGAGTCTAAAGGAGGTTATCCAAGTAAAAATTTACAATGAAAGCTGCTGTAACTGCAGAATTATTTAAATTTTCATTTTCAGCTTAGGATTACAGCTTCAATAGATTTTATTCAAATTTAGTAGAGCTTTTTGGACTATCGTTTAATGTTGAATCATCAATTTAACTTCATTGGGATAAAGATATGAACTTAACGGTTGATTTGAATATTTTCCTACTCACTTAACATTAGCCTCATTGAGATCATCGATTTCTCGCTGCAAATTCCTGCTTCTCGCTTTTTCCCTCGCCAACTCTTCCTCCAAATCATCCAATTGTCGCCTCATGGCGCGAGCTCGAGTATTCGCTCGCTCGGCTTGTTCCTAAATCATCTTTATAGAAAATTTTTTTTGATATAAAAGTTTAATTGTTGTAACGATTGCTGACCTTATGCTGCTCAGTATTCCTTCTCTCGTCCTCCAATTGAACAACAATATCTTGCAAGCGTTTCTCGAGTCGACGAGCCAATCGCGTGGCGTTCATTCTCTCCTAGAATCGTTTTATTCACTTTCTTTTCTTTTCTTATTCACTTTCTTTTCACAATCTTTCCACTCACCTGTGCCTCAGTGTTATTCTGTTCATCCAAGTATTGAATTTTTGCCTCAAGAGCCGCGATTTGTGCTCGAGATCGAGAAGCTGCAGCTGTCTCCATTTCAGCGATTTTCCCTTTGAGTTCCCGGTTTTGTCGTTCCAATTGTTGTTTCTCAGCATCAGCTCGTTGAGCCAAAGATCGTTCCATTGAGAGCTCAGTGGTGAGTTGCTCGACCTAGAAAAATCCCAAGCTATTTGTATTTCTAAGTTAGAAATCTTGTCTCACAAATAGAGAAGTGATTTGAAAGGTCGATTCTACAAATTCTACCTGCAACTGTGCCTTTCTCTGCTTATCGATAGCAAGCTCGGCATTGCTTTGTTCCTCCTCTAACTCTGTCTCCAATTGTTGAATCTTTGCCTCAAGACGACGCTGAAATGATGTTATTATGTAAATCTAAAGTTGACTTCAAACTTTTTCATCTGAGCTGATCGATCCTCCTTTACCCAAGCGATCCTCTAACTCGTCTTTGTCTACTTCGAGTTGCCTCTTTTGAACTATTAACGCCTCATTAGCTTCTTGGAGACGTTGGTTCTCGTTTTCAGCGGATCTAGAGATGTTGAACTTGAGTGAGATAGAACAAATTTAAACTTTATTGAAAACTTTACTAAACTTGAACTTTAAATTGAAAGCTCTTAAATGAATCTTTCTTTTTCTCACCTCAATCTCCTCTCCATATCTCTCAATTGACTCGCAACTTCTTCTTTCATTTGTCTGGCCTCCTCGAAATCTTTCTGATATTGTTGAATGAATTGAGCGTTCTTTCGGAGTTGTTTGTTGTATTCCTCCTTTAGACGATTCGAGACTTCGAGTTGTTGCTCGAGTTCGGACACCTAAATCAAGAGTTCGGTTTATTTAGACATTGCTGTATAGTTGTATTCTATTCTTGTAACTATTATTGTAATCACCTGTGACTCCAATTTCTTCTTATTCGATACAGCTGATCCCTTTCCTCGTCGTTCATTCTCCAACTCTTCTTCAAGATCGCGAATCTGTTTGATGAGCGAGCGGCGTTTCTCTTCAGCCTCCTAAATGATGAGAAGTCTTCTCGAAAGTTATCGGACAAAAGATTTTCTAATAAAGAAGTGAAGAAATTGGATAGAAAAGGTAAATTTCCGGAGTGGGAATTGAATCCCCGACCTTTTGTTTTCCGTCAACCACTGCTCTAACCACTGAGCTATCCGGTCCTTAACTTCTGAGTAGAAAGAGGGAAAAACAAAGGGAAGAAGGAGGGATTCTAGATTTTTTCTATCCCCTTTACTCACATGATCTTTCTGTTGCAAGAGTCGTTCCTTTTCACTCCTTTCCGCTTGCAGATTCACTTCCAATCTCAATCGGGCATCTTCGGCCAATTGTGCTGCATCTTCTAGCTCTTCCATTGTCGATTTCTGATCAGCGAGCTCTTGGTCAAGCGCTCGTTTCGCTCTTTCCAAGTCCAAGATTTGCTTCGACGCATCATCAGTTGATCCCATTACTCTAAAAGATTTGAATAACAATTTGAATTTGAATCAAATCCACCTATCCAATTGCTCTTGTAGGCTCCTCCTTGATCTCTCAATCTCATCGTGTCTTGCCTTTAGATCATCCATCTCATTTTGCAATGAAAGGATTCGTGTCTCACGATCTCTAGATTCTTGCGCATGCGAGTCTCGCTCCAACATCACCTGAAATCCTTTATTAGTTTAGTTTTACAGTAGTACAGTATCCAACCTTCTGCAAATTAGCCTTCTCCTCAGCCAATTGTTGATCGAATTTTCTGCGTCCTTTTTCCGTTTCTCTTGCTGCAGCTTTTGCCTGTTCCATTTCCATAACAATATCCTCCATTTCGTCTTGTAACTTCTTCTTGGCCGCTGCCAATCTCTCCTTTCCGGATTCGCTGTCATTAAGCTGCTTTTGAAGTTTCTCGATGTCTCGTTGAGCCTGAAAATAAACTGAAAGTACTGAAAGTATACACTTTTTGATGGCTACTGTAACCTAAGAAATCACGTAGTCCATAACCATTCTAATATTCTATATAAACAATTAAACAAACCTTCTTTTTCTGTTCCTCTAACTGCAAGATCACTCCCTCATCAGCTTTTTTCTTTGCTTCAACCAATTGTGCTCTCAACGAAACAATCTCATGGTTAAGTTGCTCCTTTTGTGTCTCCAAATCAGTATGCTCATCGTTAATCGCCTAAAAACACAAACAATTTCCCAATAAAGAAGCTACAGCAAGAATCTTTTACCCTTGTGAAAGCCCTGAGTGAGGTCTGAGATTTGAAAAAGCTTTAGAAAAAAATGAATAGAATACCTGTAGATCTGATTCTAATTGTCGGCTTTTTGACTGATAGGTGAGCTTTTGACGTGTCTCTTCTTGGAGAGTGTCACTGAGCTCTTGAAGTTGTTGCTCAAGAGTGGCCACCTTTCTCGCCAATTGCCCTTGATTGTGCTCATCGCTTTCCTTCTGGCGCACAACGGCTTCCAGCTCCTGAAATGAATGGGATTTGTCAATGGCTAAGTCCAATTCTAGATCGAGATCTATTCTATGAATCGAAACCCATTTTCTCACCTCACGAGCTCTCTCGAGTTGCTCAAAGGCGGCCCTTCTCGCGTCTTCACTCTCCACTAATTGTGTCTGCAACTCGATCGTCACTCCTTCTGCTTGTTTCCTCTTTCGGTCGATCTCAGCCTTTTGAGCTTGAAGATTCGCCAACTCTTGCGCGATTTCAGCTCTCTCACTATCGACAATGGTTTTCTTCTGCTCGGTTTGCACTCTTGCCTTCTTTGCTTGATCAGCTTCTTGGATGAGTTCCTCGATCTAGAATTTGGGTTTAAGAAATATTTTGAAATTTCTCTCACCTGTCGCTGATACTTGTTCTTATGCTCGGCCATTTGCGTCTCAAAATGACCGCGCTCAGTGTCAAGTGCTTTCTTGATGGCTCTAAAATTTTATAAGGTTTACAAGGTTGAAACTTTTACATGTTTTAGTCTTTAAATTAATCTACTTGTTAATTTAAAGGCTAAAAACAAATTAATCTACCTCAACTCTTCATCTTTATTCTTTTGAATCGCATGCGAGACAGCTGATTTATCAGTGGCTTCCAACAGCGCCGTTCTCAACTCTTCCAATTCATCGTTAAGCGTTTTTCTTGCTGATTCAGCTTTGCTCCTTGCATTCCTCTCCGTCTCAATATCTTCTCTCAACTCTTCAACAGTTGATTGAAGATCTCGAATCTGTCGCTGAAGCAATTGCACTTGAGCTGATTCCTCATCATTCCTTGTCAATAAATGTGCCAATTCTTCTTCTTTCTTCATCAATTGTTGATTGAGATCCTCTAGTTTTGTGTTCTTTTCCTCGAGCGCTTCTCTCTGTTCTTCCAAATCGGCTTGCAATTTGCGGCGAGCTCCTTCAAGATCATTTTTGAGTTGACGCTCGCGAAGGACTTCTTGTTCCAATTCTTGCACATGGCCTTCGACCTAGATTTTTAGTGATTAAAAAAACTTAAGATAAATACCTTTGTCCTTTGTTTTCCAACATGTTTCACTCGTTCCTCTTCCTCTTGCAATTGTTGTGAGAGTTGTTGGCTTCTCTCTTCAAGATTTCTTCGTTCTTTCGTCAACTTATCATGAGCGTCTTGCAAAGCAGCGTACTCTTCGTCCATTTTCTTCAGACGATGATCAACATTTACCTGAAAATCGATATTAGATTATTTCTGATATCATTAACCTTATCAATCTGAATCTTCTGTCGTGCTTGTTCCTCTTGTTCCAATTGTTCTTCAAGATCGCGAACAGTTTCGGCGAGCTTTCGTTTCTCGTCAGAAATCGTTTGAATTCTGTGTTCCTCGTCGTTGATTCTTTCTCTCATATCAAGGAGTTCATCTTCAAGTTCTTTCTGAAATTCAATAATATTCAAACTTGTAAAGTTTTCTAATCTTATAAACCTTTTTCGAGCTCAACCGGCTGTTAATCTCCTCCAATTCCGATCGAGATTCCACCTCGGTTGTGAGCGAATCGGAGAGTTGTTTCTGTTCGATATTCATCTAAACATTTCTCTATTACTTTCAGAAACTATTTCCTCACGATCTCCAATTTCTTTTGATTATCCAAATATTCTCTCTCGATGCTTTCCAATCTCTCTTTTGCCTCACGAATTTGTCGATCTTTCTCATCAATCACCTTCTCTTGATTGGTCACTTGGAGAAGGGGTTTCACCTGAAATTAACAGCATTTATTAGAAAATAATTAAATTTCGTTTATTGTTAAGAAATTTTGAAAAGTAAGACACTAGTAAGGCCTTGAGAATGCTTATCCCTTTCCCTTTCCATTTTCCTTTTAGGTGTGAGATCAATGTTGACTTAGGGTCCATATGGGAATCAAGGCTCAGGGATAAGACTAATAAAGAGATCAGAAAGAAAATCAATTTTACCTTAGTAAACAGTCTCCACCATTGCCAGTTTCTCAACTTCAACCAAGCCAATCCATTCCTTTGCAGCACACGGATCGCATTGCTTTGCTGGACTCGGCGTTGATAAAGTCTTCTCGCCAAATACGCACGACATTGCGCTTGGAAGGCGACAATCAAATCCGTCAACTTGTTATCTCTAAAAGATAGTTTTGCAAAAAAAACAAAAGATTTCTGGAGGTATGGGGAATTGAACCCCAGACCTCTCGCATGCTAAGCGAGCGCTCTACCACTGAGCTATACCCCCATGCCGGTGAGCCCTTGACAACTGACCTCTCTTCCTCGAGTGTGGCAAGAACACCGACACGGAAGAACACCTTGCTTTGACCGATTCGATAAAGATTTGGATCGATTTCAAGAGCTTCAATCATTCGCCTAAATTTTACAATAACTTCGTAATTTTTCTTTTTATTATTATAAGTTTAATGCCCACTTCGCAGCCTCTTTTCCATCCATAAAACCACGTGGGATCATATTCGGGCAAAGGATCTCATATCGATGACGGAATTCTTGGAATGGGACACGATTCGGGTAACCCTGTCGACAGATTCGAATTCCTGGAAAATGGGAAAGGATCAAGAATCAAAATAGAATCCTACGGCTATTGTTAAATCAAATCTTTTTGAATTTAAATGTATGAATTGCATCTATCAGCCTAGAGCCAAAGAATTGAACTTGAGATTTAGCTGAATGTTTTGATAGCAATCTGCTATCTCAAGATCACCTTGCCAAAGATCAAATCCTTGATCTGCTATCATTTTCTCAAAATCTTTCCCACCTTCCAACACTCCATTGCAACGCAATTGCTCAAGCACAAGCATCGAGTTGATCTTTCCAGGTTTCTTCTCGTGATTCGGGATAATACAGCGAACAAAATGCGGGAATGTGTTCTTCAATGTGGCCATCAATTTGTTGAGCGATTCTCGATGCATTTGTGCCACCGTTCTCAGCATTCCTCTCCTTGCTCTCATTCCAAAAGCCGTCTCGTTCATCTCATTCGCGTAGATCGACGTGTATTCAGCTAGAAATTCAGATTCAATTAGCATAAACCATAAATATACTTTGCTCTTAAGCCTAACACCACAATCTTGCGTATAAAGTCTGCACCAAAAAGCGTGTATTTCCAAGTGCAAAAGTTCCACTTAAATTCTCAAAATAACTGACCATCTTTCCAAATATTCACGACAAATGGATCACTTGCATTCTGCATAAGTGAAACGACATTCTCATTCAATGGATCTTTATTTTTCACAAGCCATTGTGTAGCCGAGTAATCGACTCGTCCAGCATAGTGAACCACCTAAATTCGTTTATTCTTTGTGTTGATTTTGGTGGATTTTGTGCTTGCAATGCTTGTGTAGCTCTAGTAGTTGAAACAAAAGTGAACAACTTCAAGATCGCAATCTTGACAGATACGGTAGCTGACTAAATTTCTTAAAAATAACTTAAAAACCAAAAACATTTCAAGCACCCAATCCACCAGAAAATTTCCATTCTCAAACTCCAAAAAAAAAAATAGTCATTCAAACTTTGGAAAAAGAAAAATTATCGAAAGTAGTGAAAAGAAGGAAAAATCTGGGGGTGGGACAAATGCTACCTTTTTTTGCGCACCTTTTTTTTGCTGGAAAAGGCCTTAGGCAAGGCCGTAGAGCTTCGAAAATATTTCCATATAAGGGAATCTCATGCGTAGATTCCGAGTTTCCGACTGCGGAAAAGCGTTAAGTTGCGTAGTTTTTGCCTTTTAGCCCAAATTTGACGTGTCAGCGAGGTCTGATTTGTCAAAACTCTGAATCTACGCATACGATTCCCTTCTATGAAAACATTTTTGAAGCCCTACGGCCTTGCCTAAAGCCTTTTCCAGCAAAAAAAGGTGCGCAAATGTCCAGGTGCGCAAAAAAAAGGTCGCATTTGTTCCACCCCCAAAAATCTGAAACGTGAAAGTGCTTTTTGGGTGGTTATAAGGGGAAAATTTCAGATTTGAAAATGTAGAGGTAAACAAAAAAAAAAAATAAAATCATTCAAAAATTGGGCACTCTTACTTACACCAAACATGAGCGCTCGATCCTGACCCTGAATTTTCTACAGGTTTCAGGAAACCAAAGGATTCAGTGTGTAAAATTGGGATTGATTTGTGTTGGGGGAATTTTGAAATAAAAAAAAAAGAAAGCTTGAAATTCTTCCCTATTTACAAGATTTTCCAAAATTTCTTTGAAAACTCACAGCGAAATCACTCTTTGCTCTCATGTCAGGGATGATGAATTTCGGGTGTTTTTTGTGATTTTGCGTTAATTTGTCGACGAAAGTTCGTTCAGTTGCTTGTGGGAAAGCGCATTCCTCATCGAGAATCGCCAAGATGCCAAGTTGCTGAAATTTTTCGATACACTGATGCTGATTGATCTGACTAAGCTAAACAACAAAACTCAATTGTCAGTAATGTTTGTCATCTTTAGAAGTAAAGTCTGATTTAGATCCCATTTAAGGGATTAGTTTAAAGGAAATGATCCAAAACAGGGATTCTCCTTAAAATCAAATTATTGACAGGTAAATTAATTAAATTCGAGTCTAACTGGAATAAAATGAATAGCTCCAATCGATTTCCCAATCCCGAAAACCACAGGTACAAATTTAAAGCGCAATATCTTCTTTTAGAACAATTTACAAAGCAAAAGTGACTGGCGAAGGGTTCTTTGTGCGGCCGCGTAATCGCTTGCGATCTTGCAAACACATTTGGTATAGAAGGCGTCCTTATTCTGGCTTTTTTTTCGACAGCCTTTTAAACCAAAAATATGATACTACGCTGAGCCATTCAAGGCTCGAAACTGATCTAATATATCCATCAAACAACTTATCTTGCCACAATTTTAACAAGATCTTTCCCACCTTCTCAATAAGCTCAATCGTCGGCTGCAAGTCCAAACCAAAGTCCACGTAATCCCATGGAATATTCTCCCTAAACGAATTGATATCAATATTTTCGAGATATTCAATAGATTTGACTTACTTCAAATACTCTTCTTGCTCGAGCACAAACATGGTGTTGTTGAAGAGTTGTTGGAGTTTCTCGTTGGTGAAATTGATGCACAATTGTTCGAATGAGTTCAGGTCAAAGATTTCGAATCTGAAAGGATTGAAATATTTCAAGGTACTTTTACAAATTTTATCTGAAAAACTCACCCAGCGATATCAAGAATTCCGATGAAGGAGGCTCCTTGTCTCCTCGTTCGATCAAGAGATTTGTTGATTCGAGTGACCAACCATTTGAAGAGACGTTCATAGCAAGCCTGAATTGCGTTTGTTTTTCAATCAGTTTCATTATAAAATAGCTTTGGTTAAGTTTATCGTACTGTTTACCTTAGCAATTGCATCAATCGCAAACTCAGTAGCTTCTTGGTTCTGCGCTTTTTGCACCATTTCTCTTCCAACTTTGATTTTTGGTCTCAAGAAAGCTTTCTGCAATTCAACAACCGGAATGCCGAGAAGATGACAGACTTTTTGAATAACTAAATGCTATTTGTGTACTTGCTTTCTTTTAATTATTACCTCTATCATCAGGCATAATTGCTTGATCAGCTCTTCTCTCTTGTTCAATTTGAATGTTTCCAAGGAGAAGTGTAGCGGAGACGACTCGAAGAACCGCTAAAAAAACTTGATTATGAATGTTTTTTGTGGAAAAATTGATACTCTTGGATCACTTACAAGCAACTTCTTCATCCGAGAATCCCATAATCTTCATGCTCTTGATCGTGTTCTGGAATTCGATTGCATCATCAACATTTGGAAGTTGGATGTATCCATTGTTGAGATACTTGTAGTGGCTGACATCCTCAAGAAGGAATTGAGCTAAATATTTGTGATTATGGCTGGATTTTCAAGAGTTTTAAGTGCTCCTTTAGTGATTCATTTTATAACTTTACAACTTTTAAAGACCACTGTAATCCTGGCAAATTTTTATCCAGTTTATCTGAGTGATTATTGTTACCTTTCTGTTGTGGATCGGTTCCCTTCAAGAATTGATAGAATACATGGAATGATCGTTCATCTTGTGCTTGTCTCAACGTTCTCGATTTCTCTAACAAATAGTGTTCGATGTTGGCACCAGAAATGAAGCCCGACATATCAAAGTTGATGCGAATGAATTTTCCCTAAAAATTTAAAATATTGATTTTAAAGTGAATACATACAAATCTCGACGAGTTGTCATTTTTCACCGTCTTCGAGTTACCAAAAGCTTCAAGAATCGGATTTGCTTGAAGGAGTTGAGACTCGAGTTCACCCTAAAGAATAGACTTTTAGAAGTGCTTTTAGTTTCGAAAAGGTTACACTGGGAAACAGCTATGGTTTAGAAACCAGCACAAAAGGATTAGATTTGGTTTTGGTTACATGAACTTTTTTTCTATAATATTATTTGAGGGTTTTTTAATCAAACGGTTAACTTAATTCTTTTTTTGTGAAAGTGCAAATTGTTAGGCTTGAGAAATGACAATACCACTTTGATATCCTCGTATGATGGGAGATCACCCTTTAATATAGAATGGACAGATTGAAGAACAAAGTAAGAAAAAGAGAAACATTTGGGATTATTTGTATGACAATGGGTACTTTATTTGACAAAACTTTGAGGGTTAAAGGTTTTGGCTCTGGATAAAGAACCCTATTTCTAATTTCTATTTCTAAAAGTTTAGCCAGCAAGCTTAGCCAGCCAGCAAGCTTAGCCAGCCAGCAAGCTTAGCCAGCCAGCAAGCTTAGCCAGCCAGCAAGCTTAGCCAGCCAGCAAGCTTAGCCGGCCAGCAAACTTAGCCAGCAGCATTCTCAATCTTACTGTTTTACTTTTTAACTCAAAGCCAAAGCCCTTTGTCTACAATTTGACATTTACACACGACATCGATTACTCTCTAAGAAGAGTTTTATGTCTATGCCAACTTACAATCGCTTTCGAATCCTCAAAGCTGATATATGGATGCTAAAAGGGTTTTGAAAATCTCAAAAATCTTGATCCCTAATCCCCATGCATACCATCATGCATTCAAAAGTCATGCTATTGTTTAATCATAAGTTTAACTTGTAAATAGAATTTAACAGTACCTTGGAGATCATGTTTGATTGAGTGTTTTTCGATCGGGTGGCTCCGGCAACATGGGCCAAATATTGAATGACCTTCTTCGTGTTCTCTGTTTTACCCGCTCCCGATTCTCCGCTGGAAATAGGAAAAGTTATAGTATTAAAGAGAGATATGATTTTTAGAAAGTCAAAGAAAAATAAATTTCATTGCTCGTTCGATTTTCATCGATTCATTCAGTCTGACGCTTTTGACCACACTTGGTAAAATAATAATTTCCGTTTTACTATTTAAAGGTGCCTTTTCAATGGGTCCCATATCCCAAAAGTTTAGGTGAATGTGAAAATTTTTATGACAATGGGTTCGATCCCGAAATTTTCACGACTAAAAGTATCGAAACGGTCCTATTAGTGCACTACACTAGCTTTTCTAATATTTTCTAACACTTCTGACATCAAGCATTTTACTTACGTGCAAAGAATCGACTGATCTTCTCGTTCTGAAAATTCAAATTAGTCTTGTTAAGGAATTCGTTTAAACCTTGAAGCATTTTCCTGTATGCTGAATCAGCAATGGCAAAGATATGTGGTGGCATCTCGTGTCTTTTCTTTCCTTTATATTCTTCAATGATTTCTTCGGAGTAGATCGGGAGTTTCTTGTAGGGATTGATGACCACACAGAAGAGACCCGAATAAGTCTGGAAAAAAATTGGAATAAGATGACAGGCACAGTAATTAGACTCACATAAATAAGTGACGAGAAATAGCGAGCACGAAGATTCTGCAGAACAGAGGCCTCATTTAGATATGTCAAATCGGACATATCGTCGACCTAAAGCTTGGATTTGCAATTGATTTTAGATTAAACACGGATTTCGAATTGCAACTAGATAAAGTAAAGTATTTTGAAACTATTCAAGACTCACTCGATCGAATTTCGGTGGATTGGCTTTCTGCACATCGTCTTTGCTGATGGTGACCATTTTTCCAGATTCACAGATCTCCACGGAGAGCTCATCGCCTTTCTCGGATCTAAAAATTGATATATTTATTGTTTTGTTTTTAAATGATACATTTATTGCATGTATTTACATAGTTTAACTATTAATTGAGCTAGTTAACGTGGATAAAGAGAGGGAGAGAGCTTTAGTTCTCAATACGTAACTTTATCGAGTTTAGCAAGCGACTCTAATTCTTTATTTATAAGCTAATCAAGGTAAATATTCTTTCGACAAAACGATTTCTCTTACTTGATCGATCCAGCGACAAAACCCTCCTTCTCATCGGGCACCCAACACAGCTTTTTCTTGTTCCATTCGGCTGCCATTGCTGGATCGGCTATTGCATTTCGTTGTGGCTAAAAAAAAGATATTAATAGATAAAATCTTAAGCAAAAATAAATTACAAAGACTACAGTTACTCTATACTTTTTGTATCTTTTCTTGTCTAAAAACTGTTAAACAGCTTGGCAAGTCTAGGACAAGTCAAAATGGCAATGGCCATGTTTACGGTCATTTTGTGATCAAAAGCTTGCAAAAAGGCTCATGTAATTAATTTTCTTAAAGCTGATAACTTTCCATAAATCTTTGTATTATTTTAAATCTAAAATCTAAAATCTTACCTTTAAAAAGGCGATATCGGACGCCATGTTTGTTGTTGTTTCTTTGAGCTGATGCTTCTTGTTTTTTCTCAGGCTCGTTGCACCACCTGAAAATTGTAAAACTAAGAGTAAATCTTGAATCATAAAGAAAAAGAAAAACAATAAAAAAATCAAATAACAGTATTTTTGATATGAAATCGACTGATGAATTATGCATGTGAAGACAAACAAAAAAAAAATGGAAAGAGAAAAAAAAGGGGGAAAATGGCAAATGGAATATCGAAATTCAAAAGATCAAATAGATAAAATGGGTTATTTTTTTGAAAAATATAAAATCCCCTAATCGATATTGATCTAAAAATATTCAAAAGATAAAGAAAATCAAGATAAGTGAATGTAAAAACAAAGGCTAGGCTCAAAAATCGCTTCGTGCTTCTTTTAAACCCCTTGTACTTAATCTTTTTTCAATTTTTCATTCAAAGATTGCTAAAAGAAATGAATTTTCAATCAATCAATAGTCTTTCATGACATTTTGAGGTCAAAAAGCGAAGAGCCAATGGCAAAATTTGAACTCAATCTAGGAAAACAGGGAACCATCGAATTTTTGAAAAAAAAACGTAAAACTGATTTTCGAGAACAATTTTATATCAATTTTATATAATTTTATATGTAGAATTGTAGAATTTTAGCTATTAGATTTTAAACTTTAAAAGAAAGACACCTGATCAATGACTAGTTGTGTCGAAGAGGCAGTAAAAGAGGGATGGTCAAAGGGTCAGTCCTTTGCCCTCTCTACTCCTTCCTCTTCTCACCCTCACAACAGCCTATTGACACGTGCTGTGCGAGTCAAGGCCTCCCCTCCCGCCGAATACTTTTCTTCCACCCAAGAAAGCGATTCGTTGCATTCATTCCTTTTAGGATCGACACAGCACCAAACACAGCCATCCTCGAGGTCACCCCGAGTCTTATAGAGCTCAGAAGTTACACCAGTCTTCTCTTTCAACTTTACTTTACTTAAAACTATAGAGCTATTGATCTATTGAGTAATTTGTAGTAATCTGTAAACTAGGGATTGATCTATTGAGTAATTTGTAGTAATCTGTAGACTAGGGATTGATCTATTGAGTAATTTGTAGTTAAACAAGATCTAAAGATTTGAAAAAAGTTTGTTGAAGTTTGATTCAAAGCAAAGTGAATCTTGATCATGAGAAGTCTCTCTTATTATGAAATTATCGAGCTAGCTGTTGAATCTAGAGCTGATTTGTAAATTGATCACAAAGAAAACCCTCAAAAAGTCACACCAGCTACTTTCAAGTGATTTCAAGCGGTTTAGCTATAAAAAAAGCTAAGACTTGCAACTGAATCTGAATCTAAACGAACAAACCGGAGCAAATGGACAATTCGCAGTTAAATTCCGAGCTAGAGAAGTTACTAGAGAAGCTAGAGAAGTTATATCAACTTCTCTACGGGGGATAGGTTAAATCATAAGTCGTAGCTGAACTTACATCTAGATTCAAATCTTGCAACTGAATCTGAATCTAAACGAACAAACCGGAGCAAATGGACAATTCACAGTTAAATGGACTATCTTTGGAATTACTATCTCAACTAAGTCATCAAATATCGATTAAACCCATAAAAAGCATTTTCTCGACTTTAAAGCCTTAAAAAGCTTGTCAAGAAGAAAAAAAAAGGATGAAAAATTCTTGTAAACGCTCGCCCATTCCCTCCCCAAATGTCACCATCACAAAATTCTCAGATAAGGAAAAAAAAGGCTGAAAATGAGTCGTTGTCATTGATTGAAAGATGAAAATATTGAAAAATAAGAATTCGATTATTTAGAACTATGATTGATTTCTTAAATTAAATGTTTCGTTTGAAATTTTAAAAGTTAGGTTGAGTAATTGAATGATTTTTTCCAATTTTTTTCAAATTCCTTAAAAATCGGAATATTTTCTCTTTGAATGTGAAGAAATTCTAGGAATTTCCGGGAGAATCGGCGAGATAAATCGAATAGATCTTATGATATTCAGCCAAGGGAAATATTGTTTGGAATTTTGAGGAGGGAACCCCAATGTTGATGATTTGAGGAGAGAAAAATGGAGTGAAAGGAGTGGGTGGGGCAATTTCGATCCAAGACAAGATCCGATGCTTTCAACATCTTTTCGATTGATCAACAAGATGTCAATGAAAAAAAAGGACTACATAACATTAGACTAAAAAGATTGGGGTCCTTAAATAATTGCTCATAATTGTACTTTGAAAAGAATCTAGAGTCCTAGGATCTGTGCAAAGGATTGGGTTGTCCAGTTATGAATGCACGCCTACTCTTGATCAGCACACCATAGAGCTATAATCTTGATCAGCATACCATAGAGCTATACTCTCGATCAGCACACCATAGAGCTACACTCTCGATCAGCACACCATAGAGCTATACAATTTTATCAAATATATCAAATATTATTCCGCCATACTCTCCAGATATTTCTCTTTTGGATTACCATTTATTTCGCTCAATGCAAAACAATGGCTGGAACAAAGGCTGGCTGGAAACAAGTTCAAAGAAGTTCAAGAGGTCAAAAAATGGATAGCCGATATTCTCCGGATATCGGCTATCCATTTTTGCCTTTGATTGATCCATTTGACTTCTTTGCCTTAAAAACAAGTCAATTTTTACGCCGAGGAAATTCATTCTTTGCATGGAAGATGGAAAAAAAAATATTGTTAACAAATGATGTACTGTAGAGCTGTTGATAAGAAGGATGATGATCCTATTGCTTTTATCTGAATGATATATTGTTGATTGTGTTATTAAACTGTTGCTTTTAAACTAAAGAGTTGTTATCTTAAAAACGCGCATTTATAACTGGACAATCTAATATTTTGGGTACTGTAGAGCTGTTGGTAAGAAGGATGATGATCCTATTGCTTTTATCTGAATGATTTCTGTCTGACTATGGTTACTTTAAGTACTGTAAGACTATGGTCACTGTGAAGTACTGTAGATCTTGAGTACTTGGCTAATTATGAGGGTAATATGCTTATAGAAAGGAATCTGCCTACATGAAAGGAGAGAAAATCAGCAAACATACTATACTATACATAGCAAAGATACTATCCTATAACTTAGAGACTCTTAAAAGCAACCAGAACCCAAATCGTTGATTTTCTAAGCTCAAATCAATAACCGATTCATAAAGCTCAAAGAAAAATGAGTAAAGTGAATTGAAAGAAAATCTAAGATCAATCAAGATCGACTCTAAACCTCACCCCACTCCATAAAATCTCCATAAAACCCTCTCATAATTAAACCCAAAACAAACATATAGACCAACAACACAAAATCTTACTAATAAATCTTTAAGAAAAGGGTGAAAAAGAGTGATGGAAAGTTAGATCTATAGATCTGAAAGAGATGAGATGAAGAGAAGGACATTCCATCGACTCTTCCTATATCCGTTCTCGAATAGATCGAGAATGGAATGGTGTCTTTTGCCTAGAGGGGAAAGAGAATCTCTTTGAGATTGAGATTCGTTGAGGAGAATCGACTGCACCGATATGGTAGATCAGATATAAGAAAAAGATAGGGGGGGAAGGGATCTCTTTGGGAGGGGAGAGATCGCAACATCCCGTAAACACCCCCAATATATCTATAGATATCCCAGATTTTAAGTCAAAATGAGTTCAACATTTTTAAGTTTATAGATTTTGAATTTTAAAAGTAGCTATTCAGCTTTAGAGAAAGGTTACTTTTGAAGAGGGAAAGAAGCAGTTCAATAGCAAGGTAACTGTTTGAAATTTGAATTTGAATTGAAAGGATTTTAAAAAACGAGTAAGGGAAGATTCATTCTATAGGTTAAATGATTAAATGTTGGAAAGGAAAAGATAGAGAGAAGGGATTTCTTTGAAATCTTTGAAATTTGAAAGGATTCGAAAAAACGAGTAAGGGAAGATTCATTCTATAAGTTAAATGATTAAATGTTGGAAAGGAAAAGATAGAGAGAAGGGATCTCTTTGAAATCTTTGAAATTTGAAAGCATTTGATTCTAAATCTAATTTCTAAATGATCAGATGAACAGTTTTTAAGGATAATGAAATCATTTTGCTATAAAAGACTTCTCTAAAAGCATTCCATTAATGTGTATAATGAGACAGATCATTTGATTGGAATGGAATGATACATTTTTTTAGCTTAAGTTCCTTCATTGACTCCTAAATATTATTTTTCTGGCATAAAAACAATAAATTAATGCTTTTATGTAATCAAATAAGTAAAATAAGTAAAATAATCGGGCAAAAAGGGACGGTGGGAAAGAAAAGAATTGGTTGCAGAGGCGGGGGAGTCTCGCGTCACTCGGCGAGCCATCGGATAAGCGCTTCCAGTCTATTTCTTTTTCCTTATAACAGTGCTTGTTGCAAAGAGATTCTCCAATAATCCAAAATAATCAGCCACATTTTCTAGCATTGATAAAGATGGACTAAATATGGACTAAATATGGACTAAAGATGGACTAAAGATGGACTAAAGATGGAATCACTTATAGAATCACTTCTTAGAATCATTTCATTTCTAAATCACTTCTTTTCATCTTTAAATATTTAGCTAATTGTTTATATTCTTGTATTAACTGTTAAAGAAAAGGTTTTTTTTAATCTCTAGATCAAAAATGATCTAGAGAACAGTTTTCTTGATTTGAAAACAATCGAGGTCTAGATCTAGAGAACTCTGATGCAGAGAAGTGACCGATAAAGACCAATGATTGCTCAACAATTGCAACAATTGCTTAACATTTGCTTAAAACCTGCTTACAAGCATCATAAAATGTACCTAATAATACGAAAAGATTTGAGGAAACAAAAAAGTTCCTTAAAAACAAACACAAGTCTTTGTCCCCATTTGCTATCACTATCAGCTTCAATTCAGCTCCTTTCCCCTCCAAAAAAATACCAAAACCATAAACCAAAAGCGAAGAGAGGCGAGTGGCGATAATTTCATTTGAAAGAGTCATTTCAGAAAAGCCCTAAAAGCTTTTTTTTGAGAAGAAAAGGAATGTTTGCTGGTTCTGAGTCGACTTTGATATGTGTTCGTTTCCCATTTTCACAAAAGTGGAGCCTATTTTGCATTTTATGGCATTTTTCGAGGGCATTCACATACCAGCAAACCTTTTAGAGATGAATACACCTGGAAAGGTGAAAAGAAGGGGGGGAAGAAGAATTGAATTGAAGAGAAAAGAGTCAAAACAATCAGCTGCACTTTCTAGCATTGATAAAGATGGATTAAAGATGGACTAAAGATGGACACTTATAGAATCACTTCTTAGAATCATTTCACTTCTAAATCGAAGCCCATTCACATACCAGCAAACATTTTAGAGATGAATACACCTGAAAAGGTGAAAAGAATTGGGGGAAAGAAGAATTGACGAGAAGAGAAAAGAGTAATTGAATAGTAATCGATTAGATAAATGGTTGGGTGAGTCAATTTTCGATTTATAACTGAACTGGGTGAATGGCATTTAGGTAAAAGGCTAATTCTTGTGATTACTATGGTATTGGTGAGTTCAAGAAGCTTATGAAAGATTCGATTTTCAAATCTTCAAAAAAGCTTCGTCCCATGAAAGGAAAACTGATCGTGACCAGCCGTTTTTCACACATTTTTCCCTTTTCTTGGCCTAACAAACAGACAGATTGGTTGTGTTTGTGAGTGGGATTTATCGTCATTCAATGTTTGAACGACCAAGGGAAAGACACCGATTTTGCGATTCGATTCAGTTTTTATAGAGGTTTAGATTGAGAAGTTAAGGATGAAAAGGATTTGATCTTGTTCTTTTCTTATTATGGAATTTCTTTGTACTTTGTACTTGTGTACTTTATGCTCAACTTTAACAACGCAACTCGTTTAGCGAATTCTTCTGTTTTCTTGTCAATCCAGACGAGAACTG